AACCTCATGGAACCTTCTGCGACACTATGATGTACCTGAAAAGGTCGTCAACATCATCCAGAATTCATACGACGGATTACACTGCCTATCCGTGTATGAAGGATAGCTGACAGAAGCATTCCAAGTGGGGATCGGAGTCTGACAAGACTGCTTACTATCACCCTTTCTCTTTCTTCTGGTGGTTAGCTGGATTATGAAGACCTCCAAGTATGACAGGAAGCACGGAATGCAGTGGACAGCTCGGAATCAACTAGACGATACGGACTTCGCAGATGATCTGACCCTTCTACCCCATACACAAACGCACACCAACAAATGCAGGTCAAGACAACCAGTGTGACAGGAGCATCAGCATCAATAGGCCTCAACATACACAAATGAAAAAGAAATATCCTCAAGCACAACACAGAGAACACCAATCCAATCACACTTGATGGAGAAATTCTAGAAGATGTGGAACGTCTCATGTATCTGGGTAGCATCATCGATGAACAGGGAGGATCTGATGCAGACGTGAAGGTGATGATTGACAAGGCAAGGACAGCATTCCTACAGTTGGAAAATATATGCAACCAATATCAAAGTCACATCTTCAATACGAACGTGAACACAATTCTACTGTATGGAGCTGAAACTTGGAGAATTACTACAACGATCATAAAAAAGCTACAAGTATTTATAAACAACTGTCTACACAAAATATTCAGTGTTCGTTGGTCTGACACCATTAGCAATCAACTTCCAGTTGAAGGGGAAATTAAGGAAAGACGGTGGAAGTGGATGAGACACACATTGAGGGAATAATCAAACATCACGAGGCAAGCGCGAACTTGGAATCCTGAAGAAACGAAAAAGCGGAAGACCTACGAACACAGTGTTGAAAATCGGAAGCAGACACGAAAAAAAAAGAATAGCAACTAGAAAAAACTGGAAAGGATTGTCTAGGACAGAGTTAGATGGAGAATGCTTGTGGGTGGCCTATGCTCCTCCATGAGGTGCAACAAGCGTAAGTAATTAGGGTTTGATTTTCTACTTGGAGAATTCCTGATCGAAATAAAGTAGACAAACAATTTACTATTGTATCTAGGAGTTTCTGACCGAATACAGTCTTCTGGACACTCAGTCCAAAATGTTACGTCAGAACTGATCTACTTCAGCAAGTTTTCCTATGATGGAGTGAAGTATTCGAATTTGTTAATCACTTCGTACATACTACATTTAGGAAGAAATCAGTTTCAAAATTCACATGTGAACTCCGTTGACTGACTTCCGATGTCTTTTTCACTTTGATTAATTAATTGACTACGAAGTTAACGAATCGATCTTAAAGCATTTTCACTGTGTTAATTACTTAATTCATTGTTATTTTGCACTCAAGTGATGATTCAGTCAGTCAGTCAGCTACAACGTAGGACCAGGCACATATGTGCATCGGTCCAGGTTGCCATACCTCATTAGCACAACAAGATGAACACCGGATTCATAGCAGTGGTTAGGTCAAAGGTTGCAATAAGGATATAGTATAGGAAGGAAGAATTAGTTCGTAGAAAGAAAGATATGAAGTGATTTTAATCTCTTAGTTTAAGGGAAGACAAAGAGTGTATACACCGACGCCATTGTGATCGATTCTGAGCCATGTCACCAAGAGTCTCAAACCATTGGTTACGATAGTCACGCGGACCCCAACCAAGTAGTCTGCATCTACCAACATGGCTCAGACTACAAGTTAGTGACTTCAAGCACTGATGCCACGTTTTGGTTTGGCCGCCCCTAACTTTCTTCCAACCATCCCCTACACCGGTTAGCATTGCACGTCGTGGTGATCGGTGTTCAGGCATACGTAACACGTGGCCCAACCATCTCAGTCGATGAAGATTCATAACCTCATCAACTGATTTACCATCATTCCCTAATACCCTGCGTCTAACCTCACTATTACTTACCCGGTGATGCAGGCGATATTTCTAAGGCATCTGTGGTCAAATACTTGTAGCTTACGGGTGTCTTCTACTCTTAAAGGCCATGTTTCGCTGCCGTAAAGTAAGACAGAACGGACTGCCGCGCAGTATACTCGTCCTTTTATTGATAGACGGATATCTCGCCTCCGCCAAAGGTGACGTAAGTTGGCAAAAGCCAAACGAGCTTTTCGAATCCGTGCTGAGATTTCGTCAGACACCAACCCATTAGGGCTGATCAGACTTCCAAGATAAGTGAAGTTGTCAACGCGTTCGACTACTTCACTCCCTATCCTTAGTTCAGGTGTTGACGCATACCAGTCCTGAAGCAACAACTTGCATTTAGAGAGAGAGAAGCGCATCCCAAACATTCTGGCATTGTTGCTTGGTGCTACCAGAAGACTCTGCATTTTGTCAGCGTCTTCACCAAACAGGACTATGTCATCTGCGTATTCTAAGTCGATAAGTGGACCTCCTGGTAGGAGATCAATACCCGAGAACTCAGTCGACGAGAAAGTTATTTCCATCAGTAGATCTACGATGAAGTTAAACAAAAATGGGGAAAGTGGACAGCCTTGACGGACACCACTTGAGGTTGCAAAAGTAGATAACAGTTCGCCATAAGCTCTCACTCGACTAGTAGTGTTCGAGTAAAGAGCCTTCACAAGGTTTATGTACTTCTGAGGTACGCCTTTCAATGACAGACACTGCCACAGAGTCTCGCGGTCTACAGAGTCAAACGCTGCTTTTAAGTCAAGAAAGACCACCATCGTCGGACGCCGATAGGTATGCCTGTGTTCTAGAACCTGACGAATGGTGAATATGTGGTCGATGCAGCCACAACCAGGTCTAAAGCCAGCTTGATTCTCTCGTGTTTGCAGTTCACGAGTCTTAGTTAGGCGTCTGATAATTATCGAGGCCAGTATTTTAGATACTATGTTTGTTAAACTAATCCCTCTGTGGTTGTCACAGGATGATTTTGACCCTTTCTTATATATTGGGACGATAAGTGATTGCGACCAGTCAGATGGGATAACGTCTAATTCCCAGATCTTAGCTAAAATATTAGTCAACCTAATCGCTAAAATTGGACCACCATCCTTAAAGACCTCTGGAGCCAATCCATCTGGACCAGCTACCCTTCCTCGTTTCAGATTAACTATAGCCTTTTGAACTTCAGCAAGAGTTGGGGGACCTACTTCAATGTTCCATTCACATTGTCTGGGAATGGAGGGTAGTTGTAGAGTAGCTGAAGGCCAGCTGAACTGTTCTGTAAAATGTTCCGCCCATCGTTCTAAACGTCTGGACTGGGAGCAGATGAGAGTATCATCTTTTTCCGAAATAATCTCACTTACACTTGACTTATTAATTCCAGTTTCTTTTATTAGTCTGTAAAGCTGTCTTGTGTTCCCTATAGTCGCTGCCTTTTCCATCTCTTTTGTTTTCGTTACCCACCACTGCTACGAGTACTATGTCTGAGCGTTTAGCTTTCTGAAGAAGTTCAGAAAGCTTTCTGTAAAATTCATCTTTCACTTCATCTGAGCTGCAGTCAGTGGGAGCGTAGACAGAAACGACAAAAAGGCAACGACGTGTGTCCCTATCCTTCCGAGTTCTTACGTAGCCGTTCAGCCGAACAGCACATAGACGACTGTTGACGGGGATCCACTCTAGCAGTGCTTGTTCGGCCCTCATGCTTAGTGCTATGCCTACACCTGCCAGTCCACGAGAACTGGCCATCGGGTCACCAGATACACGAAGGGCGTATCTCGTTGGCTCTCCGTTCTGCCGAGGTGAGGTCAAGTGAATGACCACACTGGAATCCTGTATGCGTGTTTCAGAGACACAGCATACATCAATGGAAAGAGACTCTAGGGTTTTAGCCAAGGAAGCCTGCTGACCGATTTGACATAGAGTGCTTACGTTGAAAGCTCCAATGTGTAGTTTGGAGCGAGGTTTCAGTAGACCTGGGACAGAGTTTTGAGCACTAGAATCGTTGGCTATGGTGACACTTGAGGAGGAAGCCGAAGGAGGAAGTTTAGGGTTGAAAGTCGATGTAGGAGGAATAATAGGAATTGAAGAGGAAGGTTGATTATGAATACAGTGGTCTTGGGTGCTGTTAGAGGTATGAGGGCGGTTATCACTTCCCGGTTGCCCACACCGTGGAAGGGTTCTTCTGGAGGTACCTGAAAAGTAAATTGGATTAGAGGTGGTCTCAGTGACCTGAGAGCGTGACCGCAGTGCCCAAGGGACAACTGCTTGAGGCCGGTCGCGCACGGCCTTTTCGTGGGAGGTATTTGACGTGTTAGCTCCGTTCTTCAAAGGGCCTTACCGCCGGAGACGGAAATCCGTGAGGTAAGGTGAGGTGTGCATTTTTAGGGTCGACCTTTTCTAACCCCACCCCTCCTTGTGGGAAGGCAGCATCGCTGTCATGCTGGTTGTCTGAAGGAAACACCTTACTGCTGTCACACCTCTGTACAGTCAGCAGTACGACTTCGCCTTCAGACCTTGGGTTTGTTGCTTTTAGTCTTACCGCTCTTCAACCGACCTTTTTGACATGGTAGGACCTTGAGGAACAGTTGTTCCAGTCAGTATAGCTCGGTTGCTTCATCACGATAGGCAAGCCCGACCACCACGTCAAGGTAGCAACAACGGTGATGATTACTCACTCAATAACCAGTGAAATTCATCGAAATGCAGCCTCATTAATTTAGGTGTAAATTAACTTTTCCTTTGGGGTTTTCATTAATATACTTTCTTAAAAAGACTTCTCTTTGTTTTATTCGAACTCTGTAAGGGATTACTATTGAAGTGCTGTGTATGAGTCGTTCGGTCTATTCAGCAAAGATTACGTTCCGTATTAAAAAGAATCCTAAATAGTCTATAATTCAGTTCACAACAGCTGTCAAACGAAGAAAATACAGAATGTTGTGTGATAGCAGTGGGTTCTTAATAAAATTAGGATACACAGACGATATAATCTTGTTTGAGAAAATAACCAGTTACGGATAAAGTTAAATTATAGTTCTGTATGATTTTAAGACTCACTTCAATATACAGGAGACTAGTTTTACAGCTTGAACTGCCACTTCAGTCTCTTTATCAAGTGTCATATCCACAAGACGTGATTTAAAACGAGAAGTGAAAAGCTCCAGACTATTGATGAGAGCAGGATCTTCATACAAGGGCTGTAAGGCGCGAAGACACTGAAGACGAACATCTCCAATTCTATCATAAAGTGTCCAACCAACATACTTTAAGTAACTGTCGTCTAAAAACATAGCTGGATAACGACGCATCCAGACACCGATTTCTTGCATGCATATTGTTCGTATTTCTGCCTGGCTATCCCTGAAAACAAACAAACAAAAATGACCTGTAAAATAGGAAATTCTAAGTGAGATTTTTAAGAGTTGGGGCTATTACAAACCTTTCAAAACGTTTGAGATCATCAAAGCTACATTATAGCATATACACATTAAGTCAGACCTGTTCACAAGGTAAAATATGTCAGTATAAAACATTCTGTACTTAGTTGAATTGTCTAAAAAACGGAAAAATATCTAGCAAACTGTTTCTGGAAAAATACTGACATATAGTCGAGGGACTACATCATCAACATTAAACTAGTCTATTCCGATTTAGTAATAACTAAGACATGACGGAAAGCTCTAGTTGAATTAAGACAGCATGTAATACATTTACTTGTCGGTTAACATTATGGGAAGATTTCGCATCTTATCCTAGTTATAACGTTTTTGGATTTTACAGAAAATCCAAGCAATGTAACATTTTTTTATTTATTTAAACACATAAACATTGGCACAAGGCGGCAACAAATAGATATGCGCCACATAAATTATTCGGTTTATGTGAGGGCTGGGATACTGTCGGGATGCCCAAACCGAAGCAGGAGGTTTTCTTAGGGAACCACACCTGGAGCCTTGTCACATGCCTAAATTGACAGTAGTAGAAGTGGTTGTACAAACTAATTCAGTAAAGTACCTACTTTATTCAAAGATATTGGTGGTCCTACAAAACGTAAGAAATAATGCAAATGAACTGTTAACTTTAACCCACAGCAAACATATTTCGGTGGAATACTGATACAGAATGATGCTGACAAAACTAAGTATCTTCTAAATGTTTTTTTTTGGCAAAACGATGTAATTCAAAGCTACAAGAACAGATTATATTAACTCTAAATATAAAATCTAATTTATCGACTTTTAGGTGACATATTTTGGGACTTATGCTGATACTTCATTTTATTAAAGTTTCTAATGAAGAAAAAACGAGAGGAATAAATTAGTTCACTCCATAAAACCTAAAGTCCTTACACTCAAATTTACCTGTATCGATGAACGAAAACACCTTTGAAAATGTATACAAGCATATTTTTGACTTCCTCCATATTCTCTTCTAACTCTTGTCGACGTTGCATTAGCACTTCAAGTCTGTCAGAAGCACGTCGATTCTGAACTTTTGATCTTTCAGCTTCATACTGACGTTGTGTGTTATCTCTATTGATACTAACATTGAGCGCAACATCAACAAGAGCAGTCATCATTTTCATAGCAGCCAATGTACTGGTATGTCTAAACGCCCGAACCTATAAACGAAATGTTAAAGTAGAAAACTTTATCCATATTCAACATTGGCTGACGATTAAGTACACACAAGAGGTAACTATAACATTTTACCTCGAATGGAAATGATTTTAGGTAATGTTTTTCTTAAGAAGCTACAAATACTGACAACAAAAATACAATTCTATCAACACTACCAATTTTTATGCCATCATTAGAACAACTGTTTAGTAATTGCATCTGTATATGGGTAATTACTGAGAAGTATATCTTACCTGTGAGTCAGTAAGGCCTGTCAATAAAGAAATGACTTGATCAATCATGCATTGATCGTAAATTATACTATATTGACATTGACGAATTAATACTTGGATGAATTCAACAAAATTTGAACGAAAGCGTTTCCAAACTGGGCTTGATTGTATAAGTGGGTATTCACCCGAGTCTTCATCAAACTCTTCAGTCATTCGACGAATAATATCAGCATGTGACAGGCGGCTATACATTTCCGGTGTTACTTTTCCTATATGAAGAAAAAAGATATTCTAATCTTTAAGTACTATACCTTTAACGAGTAAGAATAAAGTGATTTAAAATCCATAACTTAAACGTCTAAGTCAGTGAAGTGATGACTCACATCCCATAAATAGTAGTTGAGGTCAGTAGGAATTTGAGGCAATAGTTGGATGAAGCTTCGATTCTATTTACACAACGAAGGTTTTTATTATTCGTTATACTTTTTCCCGCTAGGTCTTGAAGATATTTTTACTATCCGTAAAGTATTACAAGAGAAAATTCTCACTCATGGGGCATATCCATGTATTTTTCTAATTTAGTTTCGTATATATATATAAAGGAAAATTGTCTGGACAGAATAGTGGGACATTTCTAGATTTTATTCTGAATAACGGGAGTTATTATCTGTGACAAAAGTGGGTCAAGTTAATTGACGGAGTCGAATTTATAAAGAGCGTAAAACAATGACTTCAAAAGACAGTTAAACATGACAGAGTTAAGTATTCCTGACTCATACTACATTTTACAAGTATATTTCTTCTACCTCATATTGGTTGTTTAGTGTTAATTATCAATTTCAACAAACCATTTTATTGGTTTTTCGAGGTCTTGTCAGTAATTCTAAACAGTTTTTTAAAACAATTAGTCCCTTTGATAAAATAAGATAATGCGATGAGAATTCTGATAACCTTCATCATCTCATTGCATTATCCAAAGTTGTTTTTTACGTGATTTACTTTCCACGAAAAACAAGTAGTTTATAAATGCTAACTTCCCCCTCTTATTTGTGCGAGGTTGTGTACTCATTGTTCAGTTTATTAATTCGCGTTAGATTCACTCTTAGATCATTAATATCACAACCGTACTATCCCCAGCTTGAAACATAACATCCCCACACAAAATGTATACAGAAATTATATTAAACAATGATATACATTAAACACAGAACTTCACCTTTGCAACCACTGCATGAAATAAAGAATTGGATCAATTCCAACATAGCTGGTTCACGATTTGTTTTATATTGCTCAATCCAATCATCAACAACTGTTTGTGGAGCTACTCTTCCCGATCGTATAGCTCCATAGAGGGTATGCTCGTCTTCGTCAAGTAAGGTTCCAGCACCTACAGAAAAGTAGATAAATAATTACATTAGAGATAAAAGGCAAAACAGTAAAAACAGCATTCTGGCATTTGCTCTTCAAATATTCAACGTTTTATAGTAAATCAATTGAGATGGACTCGGTTATATTTGAATAGATGAAAAGACACTCAAACATCTTCGGATCAAAAATGTTCACTTCAGTTTATGCACGTTGCTAGTATTTAGCGCTAAAGACTGGCGTTTGCAAACTCACTTTTGGATTGTTTTACTAATGTCTGGAATTTGTTGCAATTAAACTGGAATAAGAGAAATGCAGTGGTTTGATTGTAGATACCGTTAAGAACGAAAAATGTTGAGATGAGAAACGAGTTGGAAGATAGACGTTTATCGCCATAAATCAAAAACAGAAGATGCAGGAACTTTACGGGTTTATTTGAAAACAAAAACTCGACTGGGGGAGCAAACATTTACGTAACTTAAGAATATCATTGGACTTACCGACATCAAAAGTTGGATGAGTTGGGGGTCTTCCCCGCCGCTTTTTAGCTGGAGGTACATAGGGAGCTGGAGGGGCTTGGAAACCAGTAGAAACATGAGGATGTTGGTTACCAGAATGGTGAATATCGTTATCTCCGGAAGCACTGTTATTTAATTGCATGGATAAGTGATGTCCCGTATACTGAGAATTGGATAATTCAGTTGTTGTGTGGGCGGTCGTCTGTGGATTTTGCATTTGGGATGAATCTCCATGATAAGGATATACAGGTTGCTGTAAATGAGATGTATGAGTAAGGACATGTGACTGGTCTTGCAAATGATAGGCAGAAGTGTTGTAACTATCTTTCGAGATTGGTGGGGAATGATGCGATCCATGATGATCTATAGGAGAATATCGGGGATTTGAAGTGACAGTGGGATTATTGGGTTGCAAAGGATGGGGAATTTGTTGGTGAGCAGGTATTTGAATGCGCATTTGATTTACCTGATTCAGAGGACTTGTATTGTGATTGGGGTGTGGTTTTGTTAACCGCTCATTGCTGTCATATACTTAAGTGAATAGAAACGAGTAAAATGTTTGGAAATATGAGGGATTTACACCACACATGATAAGAGTTATTTAGCATAACTGGTCATAATGAACTCTTCATATCAGACCGAAATACGGAGTTACAGATTTTAAATGTGCAAATTAGAAAAACAACAGTACTGTGACACATTAACCTTTTTATGAATTGATGTAAGTCAACAATAAAATTATTGTTTGTGAATAAGTCAAAACAACGCTTAGCGACTGATAGATGCATTACCTAACTGCACGAACCGAAATAGGTGAAGAGCTGGTCAAAATTTAGATCCAATAGTACAGACGAACTAAACTACTGGCGAATGATGGGTGCAACGACATGAAACAGATGTCAAATTCATCTGTTTTTAAATTGTAAAATGTAAGTTAGTGAGCGAAACGAAATTTGAAAATAATCTCGAATGGTATGAGCAAGCAGTTAACTAAGTAGAGGGAAATGTTATGGCTCTGTGTTTTGGACATAAAAGTTAGTTACTGGACCATGGGTTCACATCTTTCCCCACCTAGTACACCCTACATAACTATGTATCATCTCCAGATGATACAATAGGCGGAAATATATAACCCTGGGTTGAGTTAGTGAGTTGCAATTTCCTTAGTATCTTTAATAAACATAAACTAATATTTATACTTCAATGATCGAGGTTGAATCATTTGGCGCAAGTAATTATCCACTTAATATGTATTAACTAATGAGACAGTGGATTGGTGGTTAAATCTTTTAACCATTATGCCGCCTACTCTGGTTTTGGTAGCCGAATAGTGTTGCTAGCCTCCATAAAATGTGGCCTAGAGCTGCGTACAAAAATTCAAACCTGCTAGGAGAGTTACCTTACCATGTCTTAACCCAAAACTATCCGATGAATTTCCATGAGAAAGATTTTTAGTTTGATCTGGACCAAGCGAATTCACAAACTGGCCGACTAAAGGACGCTTCCTGTTCCAAACTTCACATTTAACTCTAAAATTTCTTATTCGACTTTACTACATCCAAGACACAAGAATATATACAGCTTATTTACATAGAGCTTTAGCGGTCACACTGCATTATCTTACCCAAAGTACTGAGCTTCAAATTATTTCGTACTCTCATTTTCTGAATCCATCTATTCTTGTTGAACTATATTTTCCGGTATTTCGTATTTTTATTGTCGACTGTACTTTTTTACCATGATATCCAACTTGTTAATTCCAATTTACCCAGCTAAGTTAGTAAAACAACTTGAGAGTACTCATATTTGTCACAAGCTCTATGGTGATTATGACTGAATGACGATACTACTTCGACTTTTATTACTACCACCAGTAAAATCAGATGGCAAATGAACAGTTTTTGTATTGAAGATTATGTCATTGAGAGTCTTAGGTATGCACAAGTAATAACGCGGTGTTGAAGGTATTTAGACTATCCTATGAATGTCATCAAATAGAAATAACTTTGGAGCTGTATCACAGTAACTCAGTAGTAAGTCAAAAGTTGCCTCCAAATGCATTGGTACGGCGGAGGATGGGGAGAGCTCGCTCCCTCTCGAAATGCTCTCACATGGCCACATGTATACAATCACTGCCGAGGAAGTGCTACTAACTACCTCGCGGCATTACTGTTGTGTACGAAATTCAGAGGATAAAAAGTGAATGTCCGGAGCTTTAACTGTGATAGTGGACACAGAGGATCCATCAAGTGGAGTTGGAAAACCCTGATTCCAAACCAATGGTGCACATGGGTTCCAGTACTTTGAGGGAACAAATGGCGTATGAACTGATCGTTGGTCACCGGCTACCATGGGACTGCATCTCCTTAAGTTGCTCCACTGCCTTGTGGATCAGACTTTTAGGTCGAAGGCTCTGGGTGTGGCCCCTTAAGAAAAACACCTGCTTCGGTCTGAGCACCCGAGCAGTATTACAGCCCTCACATAAATCAATGATAACTACTACTGGCCTCATTGTTATTGCGGCGCATATGTATGTGGTGCCCCCTTGTACCAGTGTTTGTGTCCAAATAAATAAAAGTTTGGTAACGTGGGGTTGAATATCCTGAGACAGCACTTATTGATTAGACAAACAATACACACAAAATTGTTGGACGCTGAAATGGAAGTCGTAACATGACAATTTTGCCACTAACAAGCACAAATTTAACAGCTGTTGATTGGTTCTAACGTTATCTTTTGATCATATAGACTAGCACGTCATTGACAACCAACTGGATACTAATTTATACGATAACAACCGAAATTGACAAAACTTGCAACAGATACGCAATGATCAAGCTTTTCAAATTAAACAATGTTCACATATCGTGACCAGTCAGTTAGCTACAACGTAGAGAAGATAGAGTGCATACACCTACGCCATTGTGATTGATTCTGAGCCATGTCACCGTCTCCAACTATTGGTTACGATAGTCACGCGAAACTAAACCAGGCAGTCCTCACCTGTCTAAATGACTCAGTTCAAAAGTCGGTGGTTCCATAGACTAATGTCATGTCTTAGTTTGGCCTCCCTTAGCCTTTCTCGAACCTACCCCTACACCAGCTACTATCGCGAGTCAAGGTAGTCAGTGGATGGGCATACGCGACACAAGTTTTAACTAATTCAGTCGATACAGATTCATTAACCCATCAGTCGATTTGCAATTCTTATTCAGAACCTCAGGATGGCGAAATTGATGGTTCTAAGGTACACAAGGGATAGTTCGGAAACATCTATGACCGTATACTAGCAACCTATAAATGTCCTCAATACTAGAAGCCATGCTTCACAGGTATAAAGTAGAAAGTAAATTTCTGATCTGTATGTCTATTCTTTCGTTGATTGACGGATATCTTGTCAATGTTAGTTGACAGAGCTAATCGAGCTTTTGTCTGACACCAATTGACTAGGGTTGTCGAGACTTAGATAGTGACTGGTCCACTCAACTACTTCGCTTTATACTTCAAGCGTTGACATGGAACAGCCCTCAAGCATTATTTAGAACTTACAGGAGGGAACTTAATTTCAAATATGCCAGCATAGTTACTAAAAACGGTCAAAAGATCAAATAACTTGGGAATAAATAGCAATTTAGTTCTGTTTTAACAGTAAACAGGTTCCGTGACAGCAACTCAATCTGATCTCAGTTATGATTTATTGTAATAGCCCCTAAACAAATGCTGTTAGAGAATAAAGCAACATGTCATAGTAGCATTTACTTTCAATATGCACTATTACTGGTATTTTCTGTTTCTTACACTAAATTCGTGAGGTTTAGTTTTTGAGAAGCGATCAGATGGATATTAATCATCTAACATTCAATGGACTTATAAATAAAAACTGGATATGCATTCAGTCTTTCTTTAGATCAAAAGATTCTTCAAGTTATTTAGTGCTTTTTGTTTAGAAGAATCATATTTTCTGCGTCGAATTATTACCACTATTATTCCTACTATGGTATTCGTCTTGATGATTTCACTTCGTTTCGCTATCACGGTGAGACAAGTTAGACCGATGGAACATATGCTAAACTTCACGCCGCTTGTAACTGCGAATGAATTTGTAATAGATTCTATTTTATATTAAGCCAGATGGCTTTAGAGATACTCTTATATCACAATACTAAGAAAAAGCGTACACCAAAAAGTTGGTGGCATTCTGTTAAATAGCAGTGTTTGGTTTTTAATAGCATCTTAATAGCAGAACTAATTGAAAACGTAACATTACATGAGTTGCGTATTTTGATTTGAAAGATATATAGGCTACATGGATAAAAAATATCGAACCAGAGGGTTGTCACTTGTAGTAGTAGTAGTACTATAAGCTCATACTAACCGTGTAGGGGAGCTGATTGGGAAGAACAATCCGTGACGCTATGAAAAGCATGATGCCACTTTGCGAACTCAGCAATACCATCCAGTTTACCATATTACAGTAATAATACGGTTCCCTATCAATTCCAAATAAACACTAATTTATATTTATACGTGTCCACTTCTAAAAGAGCCTACTTCACACGTTGAAAACTAACCAGAATATCTGATACGATATAGATAATATGTAGAAATGACTAATATCAAACACGTTGACATGCATTCGTATGTGTAACCAAGCTCACCAATAATGAGCAAATCACTTTGGACAGATAAAAGCGTAAACAATTCGTCAAATGGAATACAAATCCAGATTCCGAAACTATACCTTGAGGAGCGAAATGAGCTGACCGCTGATGTTGGATTTGCTGTTGCATCAAAATCTGCTGGACAGATGGGGTCGAATTGACATACGAGTCATGGACATGACCAAAATGATGGCCTTGTGACTGGATGCCAAACTGATTCGGGAGGCGGGTATTAGCACCCTCGTGTTGCAGATGCCCCGAATTAGGATGGGAAGACAGTGAACCACCAGAGACATGAGGGTGATGGGCATGGTACTAAAAAACACATTTACAATTTTGATTAATGCGTATGTCAAATGAAATTTGACAACAACTTCAGGTAATATGAAATGTACACTAGTGCACACAAGGTCGTACAAGAGTCTAATATTCTAAATACACGATAAAAATGAGGACTAACTGGAAACAGCTTTTAAAAATCGGCTAAACAACAGCTGTCATCTCACAGAAATGCCAAAAAATCATTTAAAATACACCAACCAACCTGATCCATTTGAAGGTTTACATCCATGGACGCAGCCATATTGTTTGATTTCATCGATCCCTGGTGAATTGTCAATTAAAACAATGTTTCATGTGCAGATATCTTCCGGAGACATTTTGAAGTAAACGGAAATCACAGCATGATGCTCGTTGTTATCAGCCTCACTAACAGCTCATATATATATTGTAGATTTAGCTGGAACACTACCATCAGGTATATGTCGTTTCACTAAGTATGGGGTTTTCGAGGTTAAGTAACTGACAACTATCTGAATTGACAGCCTAGTAGAATTATTCCCTTCGTTTACTTGGTGTCAACGTCAACACACCCGCTGGTGTACGTCAATTCAGAAATGAATACTTATAATTGGTGTTGTGATAACGCGTTTGTGTTATGCGGTTATCAAAACAGTCACAGTACCTGGATACGACTAAATAGTAATTCACTTCAGATACCAACCGTGTGATGTGATGTTGACGTTGGTTGGTTGGTCACACCATTCCCGTCTAACTCGACTAGGCCCATAATCATTCGACAAATATCATGTATATCTGCACTGGTGGACAAAACTTTGGATAACGCAACCTATTATTATAATTTTTATGATTGGATTTCATACTTATTCTTTTTTGTCTGCATTATTACTTAACTTCGTCATTTACTGGGAATATTCATTGTTTTCTCTCATTTTTTATCATTATTCGAATTTGAATAACTCGGTCGTTTGATGATAACAAACTATTCAACTGCGATTATAACCGGATATCATGGTTCTCTAACAATCACTAGAAGCATATGAGTGCTTCGCGTAATATAACTGTTAAAATATGAACTACTTATAAGTTCAACCACAAGGCAACACAAGCGCACATCTGTCTGTAGCTTATGAATGTGTAGTGACTCACATTTATCACGAGAACACGACTGGTTTAATGAAAACAATTATTATTATAACCAACTGTACCAGTGTTTGTTTTAACGTGCTTTTGTTTGACTGTGCTAATGACAGCTATTTTGTGCTTCCATTCTTATTCACACACTTGATTGTAACTTCGCGCGAATTCGGTTACCTTCTGTAACCAAGGTTGTATCCTGGCACGATCTCGGTATCCTTTCGATGCCACGAGATCGCCAGCAAATATAACTCGACTTGGTCCATTAACTGCCTTCTGATATTTGGCTTCACGGGGATTTTATGGATCTATTTGGTTACGTCCAACCTTCACCTTCTGATTTGTCTGGCACGTGTTTCTTGGTAGCGGGGTTCACAGTTAATCTCAACTCGACGCCACGCTACAAATGTATGATTATAATTCATCTTCCTGCTTAACCACTTTGAACACAAATTTCGGTCACAAAATATAAGCCAGAATTTTGGTTTTACCTGACCGCTGCCTGCCCAATTTTCGGTTGCTGAGTTCCATGGTCAAACACAACAGACAAATGCTAGAAATTTACAATGAGTTTGGATTATAAACTTCCTTTAGTCGCAAATTTAGGTCAGATTTTTCATTCAGTCATTGTTACTGTAGCGGTAAATAAATCCCCAAAATAAATAGCTCTGTACGTTTTCAACATTGGATGCTGACCACTTAGCTGAAGGCAATCGGTCATGCATCCGTACCAGATCACGAGTGGGAACGCCGTGCTCAACAACCCATGCAATCGCTAGCCAGACTAGATCAGACGATCCTCGATATATTGATAGCCTATCAAATATATCTTCGACCCTCCTCGCTTCTGTCTTTTGATTTCACTAGGTGAGTATGCTTCATATTAGACGGTGTTACCGGTTAAAGCATTGTCAAACTCCGAGCGCCCTTGGCATCTTCACTACGTATCTTGCCCGAATTGTCTTTGGATCTATGCAAACTCTGTGCTAAACCAAGAATTAAATTATCAGTACTTTGCATATGATCCGAATCCCTTGGGATTTACATCATATTGAAATTCTGTCTTTGGAAATGGATATGATATACATTTCAGAAATCTCTAAACTGCATTATCAGGAAAGTGCTAACTTAGAATCCAGAGCAGAAACGAGAAACAGAAAGGTCTAAAAACATATTACATCGAAAATCGGAGGTAGACATGAGAAGAATGAGTGATAACTAGGAAGAACTGGAAAGGATTGTCCAGGACATAGTTGAGTGCAGGTTGCTGCTGAATTGACCACGCTCCTTCATGAGGAGTAACAGGAATAAGTAAGTAATCAAGCAAATAAGTAAGTAAATAAGTAATATCTGTCTACTTTAAATCCGCATTACCTAGGAGCGAGAGTAACAGGCGAGTACGGTAATTGCATTAGCTGATTTCGTACCACTTTGATGGTGCCTCATGACACTTCGCAGTTAATTTCCCGTAAAACAGCATATATTTAGACATTTCTCTCAGGTTTTAGTCGGCATCATGTATTTTATACGTAGTAAGTCGACATACTACGAAATAGCATGTACACAAGCAATCTCAATCAAATTCTTAAATAGATACTTCATCGTATTACCGTACGTAATACGTTATTTGACGCTAGAAAATAAGATTTCTCGATAGGCTTCTTATGAGATAGCCACGTTATCTGAATCTAAACTTTAGTTATTTTGGTGATTACCATTTTCATTAATGACTGCTAACCGATTTGCATTTACTGTTATCCCACATGACAAAATAAGACTCGAATTCCCCATTACAAGCGCGTTATCTTAAATTAGCCGTTAGTTTATTTACATTTATCGAACGGTCCATAGAATTATACAACAACATCACCATAGTCATCATGTATATTTCAACTTCCGTATATTAACATTAGACAAGTAATATTTAAAGATATGACAACAAAAATGTTGAAATCCGAGTTCCTTCGAAATTCACGAGGCTGATGCCCCTTTCGACAACCAGAGCAGCAATTAATTTAGGTACATGGAATGCTCGCACAATGTGAGAGATTGGGAGAGTCTTCCGATTTACTGCAGAAAAATATGTAATATTAGTTCATTAATAGTTCTCAGAAGTTACCCGTAGTTTAATCTTCACTAGGATATAACACATTACATACATATTGATCATAAAAAGGTGAGTAGAATTTAAAGCTACTTTCGATTATACGTTAATATTCGTTAACGAATCATAAAGATCCTAGAACGATCGATTAATGTACGTCCTGAATCGTTACTTATCCATAACTTCTGTCACTACATTTCGTATCATAATGTTCAGGCATTGAATAGGTATTAAATAATTATATGGATTTCACAAATTAAGTTAGTTAGAATTATTGCTTGAGCATCTGGGCTACCTGTTCTTGTCATCTAGACATTTCAACATGTTGTCTATTTTTGTTTGTTTTAATATATCATTATGTTTATTTATCGCATAGCCTATTCTGCTGCGTTTCTGAAAAGTGTACAACCTTTCGTTGTCAAAGTTACAAAAAAACTCAATAAGAGACAATGTGGCTGCTTGCAATATACAACAAAAAGAATGCACATTATTCAGATGTTCGTTCACTGAACTGCCTATTATCTAACTGGCGATCACTCGATATTTATCGCCAGGACCGACCAAGAAGAAAGAAACGGAAAATTGTTGAAATACTTCAAACTGAGAATTCTGTATTGTACCAAAAATATGATACTGAATAAAGCTGATGATAATAATAATAATCTCGGAAAAAAGATCACTTCATTTTTGCGTACATGACTAACAATCAGGATTTCCGATAAGAATATTGAAAAATTTATTTCAAAGTTAAAGTATAGTGAGTAGATGATAACTAACAAGTTCAGTGAATTTAATAGATATCTACAGTTTGAGAAATGTTTTTATAACACACTGGAGTCTATTTACGTGTTGAGTTGAAAACACCAGCAGTGAATAATAATAATAATAATAATAATAATAATAATAATAATACGATAATGATGATGTTGATGAGAATGAATTGTGAAATTGGACGTAATTTCGTTTTATTTCATGTGGGGTCCTAAACACAAACTACTGTGTAGTTTCATAAACTCGAACAGCTATTCAGTATTTCAAGGTTATCAGGTTTTCTTTGGTAGGAATTAGACTGTGGTATAAAATATCAAAGATTTTACAGGTTATAATAAACTCGTCATCTTGACGTTCTAAACATTTGCGATTCCACACACATACTTCCCTTCATCATCTTGAAAAGAACAGGTACAAAGATTATAACAGAATAGCATGAATTCATTTTATTTCGTTCACTCACGTCAGTTGCTTACAAGCTATGATTTTCAAAGACATGATTACAAAATGTGTTTAAATTACTTTGGAGATGACACAGGTATTCAGAGTTTGACAATGCTTTAACCGGTAACACCGTCTAATATGAAGCATACTCACCTAGTGAAATCAAAAGACAGAAGCGAGGAGGGTCGAAGATATATTTGATAGGCTATCAATATATCGAGGATCGTCTGATCTAGTCTGGCTAGCGATTGCATGGGTTGTTGAGCACGGCGTTCCCACTCGTGATCTGGTACGGATGCATGACCGATTGCCTTCAGCTAAGTGGTCAGCATCCAATGTTGAAAACGTACAGAGCTATTTATTTTGGGGATTTATTTACGCTACAGATCACTCCCTACCTAGTGGGGTGGTGATGACCCTAAGACGTGACCAGCTAGAATTTTAAACCCAACGAGTTTTGTCGTTGGTAAACACTCTCTTGATAGCCTGCTATGTTTAGCAGCGTCTAGTCGTCTTACTATAAGGGACCATGAAATACAATATAATGGAAAAATAATGTACAATGAAAATTTCGGTTCCTCATAAACCTCATTGTTCTTTTTATCGTCTTTTCCAGCCGTCCTGGAAAAGAAAAAAAATGTAAGTGCGTGTCGAAATAAACTCGTCAGCGCTTTAAGACACAAAATGGGCGGAAAATGGTTAATAACGTAAAAGCAAATTTTTACAAATGTTTTTTTAAATTTTTTAATATATATTAGCCAAACAGTAAATATATATAAATATAAGCATATAAAAGTTGATTTTTTTTCATATTATATATAATGCGA